GTTCGTGACAAAGGTTCTGTAGAGCCTAGACATAGACAAGCAGATGATCCTTGTCGATATTGGTCTAGCTATAATTCCGTAGAAAACCATGGCCCTTCTAATTGATTGATCAGCAAGAAACAAATCTCTCCCTACAAAAAACGGAGAAATTATTGAAACAACAAAGGCTGGTAATATTATAAATTATTTAGAATGCACGCTCTCGAAAGAGCTAGTACTGAATGAAGAACTGGTGAGCAAATTGAACAAAACCTTGAACAAATCGGTTAGCTCTTGCCTTCTAAAACCGGAAAAGAAGATCAACGTTGTCAACCAATACGTGTTTGACTCTCCAGACGGCGCCCCTTACAAAGTTAAATCCTGCGATATAGAAGGGAATCGATACCAATATCAGCGGGATTATCAAGGTTATTATTAGGCTCCCCGCTAATACATCAACGGCGATGTCGCATGCACCGAGGAGGTATCGCGGATTGGAACTGATCCGCTGTCAATGAGAGGCTCCTTTACAGCATTGGTCCATTTCCCAACGGCTGGCTATTGTATCGCTTTTCCTGTTCCAGTCCACATTTGATTTGATTGGCAGAAAGATTTGGAGTGGATCAGGGCCACCGAAGCGTGTGATCTCGACCACAGTCTCTAAGAGAAAATTCATTCGAAGAATGGAGCAGCTGCAGGTGACAAGGCGTTGGAGTTCGATATTTTAAAGAAACCTCGAGATTCAATAGATACATAAGTCAGAAACAAGTACTTCAGGGGTCAGAATGGTCCAATGACTTAAAACTCAATATCAACTAGGCGTCTTTGCGTAGAGTCCCAGGAGCCAGTGGACAGTCGAAGGAAGTTGGGTCCCTCTGTCGGTAATGTGTCAGAGAGTATGAAAAACCAGCCCTTGTGCTGGGAAAGCCTAGTGGTAATAGAAGAAGAAGAAATAGAAGACGCAATCCAGACTCTAAAAGCAGGAAAGGCACCGGGAAGGGATGGTATCGCCCCAGAATGTTTGAAATATGGTGGAAATGAACTCCTTAAAGTCCTTCAAAAGCTCTTCCAGGAAGTATATGATAGAAAGAAAATTCCCAAGGATTGGGAATATAGCATAATCCTTCCAATTCATAAAAAAGGCAGCTCGACGGACTGCAATAACTATAGACCCATCAGTCTGCTCTCTGTGGTCTATAAATTATATACCTCTATATTAGAAAGGAGGCTCCGGCGGATTGTGGAGGGACAGCTGGAAGGTGAACGGGCTGGTTTCCGTCCTGCCGGCAGACTCAGGACCATATCTTTGTTCTTAGAACCATCGCTGAAAAGGCATGGGACAGAAACAAAAACCTGTACCTGGCATTTCTTGATCTAAGGGCAGCGTTTGACTCAGTTCCTAGGAAAAAAATTTGGAACGCTTTGGTTGCCAAGGGCGTGCCTGAATATTGAGGTCGTGAAATCAACCTACCAGGGAGCCACTGGAGTGGTAAGGATAAATGACACGGAATCAGAACCTTTCCCAATTGCGAGGGGAGTCAGACAGGGAGATAGTTTAAGCCCCCTCCTGTTTATAAACTTTATAGATGAGATCCATAAAATCTGCAAGTGTCGGACTGCATGGACTACAATTGGAAACTGGAATATGAGGACTGTCCTCGTACAGAGCCTTTTATATGCGGATGACATTGTGCTCATCGCCGATTCCAAGATGAAACTACAACAAGCACTAGTAGAATGGGAAGAAGAACTGCTGAGGAAAGGTATGCAAATAAATGCCTCCAAAAGTAAAGTGATGATTATGGCGAGAGAAGAAGAGGAAGACGTCCAATTGGTTTGCAACGGAGAGATTCTTGAGGTAGTAAAGGAGTACACATACTTAGGTACCATAATTACTAACGCTGGTAAGATAGATGCTGAGATTTCGTAGAGAATATCTAAGGCGAATCAAGTATATCACCAGATCGCTAGCAGTATCCTCAGCTGCCGTGAAGATGCACGTCTATAAGTCTGTATACCTTCCTATTCTCACCTACGGCGGAGAAAGTTGGACTATGTTGGACAAACATTATAGTCGCATACCAGCAGCGGAAATGCGATTCCTACGTAGATCGGTGGACAAAACTAGGAGGGATCGCATTAGAAATGAAACTATCAGAGAACAGCTGGAAGTGCCTGAACTCATAACCACCTTTGAGAACAGACAATTAAGGTGGTTTGGACAAGTCTGCCGCATGAACGAGGACATGGATCCTATAAAGATATTAGAGGCTCGACCCACAGCTAGGAGGCCACAAGGGCGTCCCAGAGTCACATATCAGGAGTCAATGGAGAGGATCGGAGGTAGAAGAGGAAATTCCTTCAACCAAATGAAGCGGTTAAGCAGAGACCGGGAAGAGTGGCTGCGCTGGATAGAGTCTCCTCGACGCTAGAAATGGCATTGTGAGGAAGAAAAATAAGTGCTGGGAAAATGCCCTAACTCCCTCATCATAACACGCCGGTACCATAGGGTCAAGTTCGAGTTGATAAGACTCATCAGAGAAAAAGAATCAGTGAAAAAAAAAAAAAACAGTGAAGGCTCTACAGGATATGCGGATATATTAGCATTCCCTAAGACAGAAGGGACAGCGCTGATCTTGGATCCTACTGTCCACATTGAGAGCAATGAACTCAATCAGGCGGGTGAAGTGGAAAGGAAAAAGAAGAATATTTATGATAAATGTATCCCTTTCCTAAGAGAGAAATTCCGCGAGATCTTTGGAGAAAGAGAGTTCATTGTGAGAGGCCTATTGTTTGGGTCTCTCGGAACAATTCCAAAAAGAACAAGGAGCTTCCTCGAGGAACTGTTGATGTTGTGGAGCTTGCGATGTTGGCCGAGAATATTATACTGGACTCCCTGGGAATCATTCACTATCACTTTTATAGTAATTTACCGTGAATTGAAGATGTCTTTTATAATTTATCTATTCAATTTTAAAATCCTCAAGGTAGTTTCCTTTACAGTTTATACCAGTGGCATTCCAACCCATCCTGACACTGTCATCACCACTTATTCTGATGACATATGTATCCTATCTTTTAATAATGATCCATCAACTGCATCGTAAATTCCCCAATCACATATCACAAACCTTGAAGAATAGTATAACAACTAGAGAATTAAAATAAATTCCACAAAATTACTTTTACCCTTCGTTGAAACCCATGACCTGCTGTCCTACAGTATCCTTTAACAATTCCCCACATATCCCAGCTGAACAAATCCGTTACCTAGGACTCCGCCTGGGCAAACGACTCACATGGAATCCTCATATAAGACTGAAACGACAAGAAACCACTCGACATTTCCGACTACTCCAGAACTTACTTGACAAACTTTCTAAGCTTTCAATCAATTACAAATGACTCATATATATGACAATAATAAGACCTATTTGGACTTATGGAATTGAGCATTAGGGCTTCACTAAACCATCGAATTCCTCTCGTATCCAATCCTTACAATCCAAAATCCTTCGTAAAATCCTCAACGCTTCTTACTTTGTCACAAATAAATTCATCCACAAAGAAATTGATGTTCCATATGTTTCCAATTTGGCCCAATCCAGATACCTATCCTTCCATAACAAACTCCAGAACCATCCCAACCCTATCGTTTCAAACCTTGCTTCCTCCTCGATTCCTGATAACCCTCCGGGGCTTCTGAAATGAAACTTATACCTCGTGATCTTCTTGTGTAAATTTATTATTTGGGTGCTTCAGTGGGTAGTTTCTCAACAAGCGATTTCACGTTATTATATTCATGAGTGCACATTTACTAGTTGTATTTTTTATAATACATTTATAAATATCAATAAAAAAAAAAATTAAATTGTTAGCATTGTCCTGTCTTTTTGTCTATATTCGTGAAATTACTTCAATATATAGGTGTGCGATTTAGTGTTAAATTCCTAGCATTCGATTTTTTTTTCAGTATGTAAGTTTGCAATATTGATGTCTTAGTGCAGTTTATTAGTGATACTTTATAGGACTAGCATTATGAAAAGGGAGGGGAAAAAATTGACGATGCGGTTAGTAGGTTTGATCCTCTGTTTGATGAGCTTTATTTAGAGCAGCTGTAACAAAGCATGAAATTTTGGAGGCGATACCCAGCTTTGGTGAACAGGAAAAATGTCATTTTTTCATGTGGAGTTACGTTGGTTCGTGTGCATAATAGAGATAGATCTTTAGATTGATAGACCTCTTCCCTTCTTACCATTCATTTTTAAGAACTTATCCTACCATTCTTATGATTCGAACTTGACGCCTTGGGACCACGTTACTTAGGAAACATCGTTTGATTTTTGCACAGATCTAACAAGATTATATGACTTTACAAATCTCATCACCCAGTATTAAAGTTTTATCTCTCTAATAGTACTATTTCGCTGGTGCTCCCCACGGCAGCGCAAAAGATTTCTTTCTATTCCACTAAAGCAGTGGTCAACCGCAAGCGGTTGCTGCCGTGGGCAGCTACAGCGAAATAGTATTTTAAGATGACATAAGTTTCCATGCAAATTTTTTATTAATGCTAAAGTGGTACAGATTGAATTACAAACTCTGAGTGAGGGCATCAGTTGCATGATTCTTATCATAGGATTCTTTTCCTTTAGCTCTCCGACCGATTGTAATTTGGAACTCATACGATTGTTTTTCTGGAGATATATCATTTATATTCATAAAGTGCTTGACTAAAAGAACATCAGAAATTCTTCATAGTTCAATATGCATTAATTGCAAGTGTATTTACAGATGGTATCATGAAGTAAAATGAACTTTTTAAATGATACTATTTAATAATCTAAGTAAAAAATTCATCCATAGATATATACATTATTATCAGGTCAAATGATAAATAAGTGTGAATAATTTTGAAAAGTTTAATTATTTTAAGTGTTCCTCAATGTTTAAGTATTTTTCTTTTTATGTTTTTGTGTTCCCTTTTATCTTCATTGGTACATTGCTCTTTGGACTAAACCCGTGTGATAGTTAACCTACCGAACTATGGCAGAATGTTTTTTTTGTAAACATCCCATTTTATTTTCATAAATTAACATTTGCTTGTTTAGCAAAGAGTACCTCGACGGTTAAACATTATTGTTTATCCGCTCCACACACACTACCTCTGCAGAAATGAAATAATGGTGGTTTAAAATGTGATGTTACAAAAAATGTTTAAGTTATTTATTTAAAGATTGGTTTTATGTTGTTTTACTATGTCACTTTCTGGTTCAGAAAGTAGTGAACATCTCAGTGGAGATTCAGTTCATGGTTTCGTTACGGTGATTCCTGTAGATTATTCAAGGCATAGAGGATTTTTGCAACCACCAGATCAGTATAGGTATAAAAAAATTGATCATTTTGTTTTACCCAAAACTGTGGTAGATTTCTCGCTTCATCTGATTTATTTAGTTCATTTTATTGAAGTTTCTACTAGATTGATGTTGTTTTAGTAATATTTTTTTTCTACTTTACTTCTTCAAAGTTGTTTTTATTGGTTTCACTGCATGGATGAAATGTGACAATAGACACTTTTCTTTCATTAATTTTTTTCTCTTTTTAGTTTTTTTTGTAGTTTCAACCTTTTGCTTTTATAGAACTGTACAAAGGCTTAGTAGTTTTGTTATTCATTTAGGACCTACTGATTAATTTAGTTTTAAAAGTTACATCTTCAACTCATTGTTCATTGTTATAGTGATTAAACCTTTGACAGTGGGAGCTCATTCTACCAGATTTTGCATCCTGCCATCCATCCTGAAAAGACGCCCTGAAAACGGATTCTTTTTTTTTTTTTTTGGCATTAATTTGTTTAAAATGTTATTTTGAGTCATCCTGCAAGATCTTAGCTTTCAAAAATGCATTTTAATCTTTTTATTCAACTTTTAATAAATGAGTCATATGCCTTCCCGGCTGCACATAGCAATGCAAAATTAGAGCGGAAATCTCACAACTCTTCGCTTTCTTGCGTATTTGCTCATTTCTGAAAAGCAAAGCAAACACTAACGGCAGGATTCAAATTATATATTTCTTTGTATTTACTACTTTTTTCTTACTTAAGAAAGTTTCATATTCAAAATATTTCGGTTATAAATTTCATTATTGTACTTAACATTTTTTTGAAGTTCAAACACTTTTATATTATATGAAATATATATATTGATTTTCAATAGATGGAAAAATGATAAAACAACTAAAGTATCATTTTAATTCTGTATATTTTTACATTTATTAATTTCTACTATTACATTTTAATTTTTGCATTTATTTATTAGATTACACACACACGTATATATATATATATATATATATATATATATATATATATATATATATATATATGTGTGTGTTTGTAGAAAACTTACATTTATTTGTTTAGTAGACAAAGGTTCACGTGTACCAAAATTACCGATCAGTCAAAACCAAAATTAAAAAAAAAAAAAATTATAAAATTAACTTATTAACATTCATTTTTGACTTATAAAACATTTAAATAGAATATTAATTAGATCATGGATACGACACATATACCAAAGAATGGACATAGCTTGGGTTCAGAATAAATCTGCAACTGATGGTTTCCAAATAGTCAGAATCTAGAACGACCGCACTGAGTCAGCTACAGGGGACTAATGAATGCACAGTCCAATCCACAAGACAAATGGTGAAGGCGGAACTTGCCCCTACCTGTTTTAAGTGATGACCGCCCAGGCGGTAAGCCATATATCTCGGCCACACCAGTGACCCAACTCACTAGCGGGAAGGCATATGTCCCACCTGCACCAGTGACCCAACTCTTAACGGGAAGGCATTTATCCCGCCTCCAGTCAAGGAGTTAAATGAAGCCGTTAGATTCTTCCAACTTAAAAAAACAAATAAATGCTTCTGAATAACAGATGTGTTTGTTGACATATGTAACATATATCTAAAACTACTACATAACGTTGATTGTATATAATATTTGGTTAATTATGTTGTCATTCATGAGGTTGATAAGATTAAGGAGTATTCTTTATTAGGTCACATTTAATTTTAAATTGAAATAGATTGTTTATAATTATTGGGTTGGCAAAAAAGTCCATTCGGTTTTTGAGAGTTAAATAAAACTCAATGTATTATAGACATAAAATTTATTTTAATCTACAATATATTGACCATTATTTAATATGACATTTTCCTATCATTCCACTAACTGCATAATGCCATGTTCATAGAATGTCTGGAGTTTATTGTTAAAATACTGATCCAAGTGCTTTTTGATGTTCTATTCTTTCTGGAATTTCTTTCCATTCACGGAATTCTGCAGTGACCGGAATAAGTGGTAGTCACTTGGCGCTAGGTCTGGTGAATAGGGACGATGGGACAAAAGGTTCCAACCCAGGTTCAATAATTTATTGCTAGTGACCAACGAGGTGTGGGGCCTAGTGTTGTCTTGGTGGAATACAACACCCTTCCGATTTGCCAGTTCTGGACGTTTATTTTTAATTGATTGATCAAATTTTGTTAATTGTGAGCAGTATAGAGTTGAATCCATTGTTTGTCCTGATGGCAATACCTCATAGAAAATAACACCCTTTAAATCCCACCATATGGAAAGCATTATCTTCTTTGGATGCAATCCGGGTTTTGACATTCTTCTAGGAGCCTCAATACTAGGTCCCCAAGATTTTCTACAGACTACATTATCGTAAAATATTTATTTTTCATCTCCTGTTACCAACCATTTCAAAAATGGATTGTTTTATTGCTGTTTCCATAGTGACTCCCAACAGAAATGCATGTTGCCAAGTTGACTTTGGTTAGAGAGTGAGGGACCCAAACATTAAGTCTGGAAAAATAGTCGAGCTTATGCAAATGGTTTTCTATGCTTGTTTGCGACACATTTAGGGCCATAGCAATCCCTCGCACTGATTGAGTGGGATTTTGATCAACATTGGTCTTAACATTGCTCGTTTCAATTTCATGTGGGCTACCAGAATGTTGAGCAGCATTGGTGTCAAAATTCCCTGAATGAAATTTGACATACCAATTTTGACAGGTGTGTTTGGTTAAGGCATCATCCCCGTGAACACTGCAAATTTTTCTATGAGCTTCTGCAGCACACTTACCTTTTTTAAAATAATACAACAAAATATGCCGATAATGAATGATATTTTCTTCCATATTCACAGTGCAATAGCCAACACAATACTAAACTAGTTTCAACAACAGTTAACAGATATAGTTATTAACATATTACAAACAGGATAAACAATCCACCTCAGGAATTGATTCAGCAGATAAGTGTATCATATTGACATAAAAATAAACAGGAAAACTGAAAGGACTTATTTGTCAACCCAATAATATATGATTGATCTTAAACTGGTTTTAAAATAATATTAACAAGCCAGTTGAATGAAGCCTCCATAGACAGAAAATATCCTGAAGAGAAAGAAAAATAATGTACAAATTATGCTTATTCTTTCACTGAATATTGCAACCATCAATTGAAAGATATTCTTAGACTACCAATATGAAACATTTAACATCATTGGTGCAGTATTATCCTTTGAGGAGCAAAGTAAACCACTTCAACAGTATTCATTTATCATTTTTGGGAATCATGAATTGTTTCATTATTGAAATTTCTCCTTTCGGAGGTTGTCTGAAGTTTTTTAAATTTAATTGCACTATATTTTGTTGTTTGTTATTATTTGAAAAATACTATATGGTATAGTGGTAGTGAATATCCAACTGCAGACATTTTAATGAAATCTATAATGATGTACTAATTAAAAAATGCTTTAACAGCTTCCATTGTTTTATCACATGTCAAACTAAATATAAGAAATGGTAACTTAAATTGGATTGCATTAAATTTTTTTAAACTAATATTTGCGGCAATTTTAGAATAAAAAATAAGGAATACCCTGAATATGTTGAATTCCAACACAGTAATGACCCTAAGTACAGCATAAATTAAAACCAGAAATGAATATTTAATTTAATTTGGGGAGTTTCACCACCACTCCAATTATAATATCCTCCAATGGACTGATACCAAAATCAACAGTGGCAGGTACGATTGGTTTAAAATTATCTCTTGATATACTAAAAGAGGGTCAACACTCAGTTTTCTTAAACACAGCACGTATTGTCAGAAAATTTTTAAACATCTAAAAAAATAATAAATATTCTAGTCTCCACCTCAGAAACTCACCGCGCTAAGCGAGAATAAAAATTAGACAGGTTGTCAAAAGCTTGTAACAATATATCTTTATCGGTTATTCATGCTTTTTTCTTCATGGAATGTATTTTCACTTTACATTCCAGGGAACTTCTATTGAGAAACTAATGATTTGCAAGGACATGTTGGTTTTAAATACCTTCATGTAGCTTCATAAGTTATCACTATAGCAGCACTGTGCATGTTTATGTTTCTCTGCAATATTTCGCTTTACTTGTGCAGTATTGATTTAGCTTTTCCTTTTTTTATCTATTTTGTGAATGTATCCCTGCATACCATATATCATTCAACAAAAGCCAGTTTCCTTATCGAAAGACAAACATACTATAATATTTTTTTTTTCTTTAGATTTCTAAAATACAACAGGGTTCAGTCCTTTGCTATTGCTATGCTTTTTTCTTTATGTTCACTAATGCATAAAATAAATGCTATTCCAATAAAAAAGAACAAGGATGTTGGTTGATTCATAAAATATTCATATTACGACAATGTCTAACCATTTCAATAAGGAAGACAGCCTTGTTTTGAACAATATTTGGAATACCATGATTCATTTACAGGCATTATGAAAATGGAAATGCTGAATCCTTTCTGCTCAAGTGATATACAAGAAAGTTTACAAGACTTCAAGAAATCCCCGATCATTTGGATGAAATATCAGAAAGAAGGTAATATAAGCTGCCTCCCAACTCCCAGAGAAAAAAAAAAAGTATCACAATCTAAAAAATTAACTTAAAAACTACATTGTGAGTTTACTAATGTTATCATGTGTGCAATTTTATTGAAATAATTCTGATAAATATATAAAAGTATATTCCAATATCTATTAAAAAATACAAAGCTTCCCTTCCTTCGGTAGTGAGGAAGCAAAAAGAAATCAGGTTAGCTATAAACAACGTTAAATCATTGATTAATTTATTGATAATTTAATACTGTTCTCACTAATGTTGCTAAGACTAATATGATCACAAAATTGACCAGAGGTTTTCACTGATGAAGCAACAAAGAAAATAATATAGTTTACAAGACCATGACTAGTACCTTCACCTACTTTTCATCTCAACCACACCACATTCTACCCCTAGTGTGTGGCTTGTGATAATTTGAGATTAGTT